GGATCTTCTTTCTTCTGAGACTTTCTCTTTTTTGATCTTCTTTCTTCTTCTCTTCTCTTCTCTGACTCTTCCTATCTCTGCTTTCTCTGTCCATATTGTCGGAAGTTTGACTTCTAAAACTTCCTTCGGTAATTTAGTCCGGTAGTATATTGATTTCATTTTTGGTTCGAATTTTCAATTCAATTTGAGCCTGACTGAAGCAGGATACTATCGCAATCCAGGTGTCAAGCAATCTCGCTCAGCTCGGTTTGGCCACAAAAGAGCAGACAAGTTGATAGAGACATGTTGATAGAGACATGTTGTAGAGACATGTTGATACAGACAAGTTGATAGAGACATGTTGATAGAGACAAGTTGATAGAGACAAGTCGATAGAAACAAGTTGATAGTGACATGTTGATAGAGACAAGTTGATAGAGACATGTTGATAGAGACATGTTGATAGAGACATGTTGATAGAGACAAGTTGATAGAGACATGTTGATAGAGACATGTTGATACAGACAAGTTGATAGAGACATGTTGATAGAGACATGTTGATACAGACAAGTTGATAGAGACATGTTGATAGAGACATGTTGATAGAGACAAGTTGATAGAGACATGTTGATAGAGACGGCGGGCAACGGCGGGAGACGGCGGGAGGAGGAGAAGGAGGCCACAAAAAATACGAAATAGACTGCCAAATAAAATGTTAGAATATTTGCCAAGCAGAATGCCAAATAGAGTGCCCGATAGAATGTCAGATCATATGCCAAGTAGAATGCCAGATCAAATGCCAGCATATATGCCGGAATGAACGCCAGGTTGTGTCTGATAGAATGTCAGAATATTTGCCAGATGGGTTGTTGGAAAGAATGTCCGAACACATGCCATATAATGACATGCAATGCTCAAGGATACGTCCCGACATGTCGGCTTAAATGCCAGACAAAAGGTCAGAGAGAATGCTAGAAAGAATGTTAGATGAGAATGCTAGAAAAGAATGTCCGGATATGTGCTGTATAGGTAAAAAAAAGTGTCATGCCAAGCCATATGTCAGAAACGTTGTCAGGATATGTGCCAGATAGAATGTCACAAGAAATGTCAGAACGCATGCCAGACAGAATGCCAGAATAGTTGCTGTATACAAAGGCCAAATCGCACGTCAGAAACGACGTCTGAACATATGTCGGACATTACCCAGGCCGCGAGTACCCCGGGGTACCCCGGGGTACCCTGGTGGAGCTGGTGGTGCCGGCATGCGAGCGTACACGGCACTGGGCGGGGATCCGACTCGGCCCGTTTGAGCCCTGTCTTTGGGTACCCTCCTGGTGCCTTTGAGGCCGGGCTTTGCCATGTCATTGTAAAATTTTGGATTGTAAAAAATAGGTTCACTTGAGAGGGGGAACACGAAAGGTAGGTGAGCAAGAAAGGAACCGAAGAAAAAACGAAGGGGAGAGGGCAAGGGAAAAAACATGAAGTGGAGTCTGGTAAAAGCGACGCGGCCATTTTCTCTCTAAAAACATGAAGTGGAGTCTGGTAAAAGCGACGGAAAGGCTTCGGCAATGTGGTTGGGGTTGGTGGTGGTTGTGGTGTTGGTGGTGTTGGTGGTGTTGGTGGTGTTGGTGTTGCTGGTGTTGTCGGTGTTGGTGTTGGTGTTGGTGTTGGTGTTGTTGTTGTTGTTGTTGTTGTTGTTTCAGAGAATTGTGAATAACTATCATGGAATTCTATGACAATAGAGAAGCACTCTTCTTTCAAGCATGCGATGACAGTTTGATGACATTTCATATCGCTGGCCAAGCCGAGCACAAAGGTCGACTTTGAATGGCCGGAGATTGATCGAGAGTCCCCTGGCATCGACGGTCCTTGGGTTTTTGAGGATTTGAAAAAGGATTATCCAATGTCAATCCTTCTTGTCAACCATTGGCATTTGTGCACTGGTCATGGCTCAATCGACTTTAACTGACACTGCAGCGGTCAAGATTTGATCAGAAACATGTCGTTTTGCACAGTTACGAGTTTTGTAGGATCTCAACGACCTCTCATCGTGAAGACTCCAAAACCCATGGGAAACTGCTGCGCTCGTCGCCGAAGAAGTGGCGACGAAGTGGCGTCATGGACTTCTTCGGCGTCATGGACTCTCGTGGCGAAGATGTCCATGACGCCGACGCAAGCCGAAAGGCGCAGCGGGGCAGTCGTCGTCGTCGTCGTTGCTTTTGTTGTTGTTTTTGTTGTTGTTGTTGTCGTCGTCGTCGCTTTTGTTGTTGTTTTTGTTGTTGTTGTTGTTGTCGTCGTCGTCGTCGTTGTTGTTGTGGTTGTGGTTGTTGTGGTTGTTGTGGTTGTGGTTGTGGTTGTGGTTGTGGTTGTTGTTGTTGTTGTTGTTGTTGTTGTTGTTGTTGTTGTTGTTGTTGTTGTTGTTGTTGTTGTTGTTGTTGTTGTTGTTGTTGTTGTTGGTGTTGTTAGTGTTGCTGGTGTGGTTGGGTTTGTTGGTGTTGTTGGTAGTGTTGTTGGTGTTGGTGTTGTTCGCGTTGTTCGTGTTGTTCGTGTTGTTGTTGTTGTTGTTGTTGTTGTTGTTGTTGCTGTTGTTGTTGTTGCTGTTGTTGTTGCTGTTGTTGTGGTTGTGGTGTTGTTGTGGTTGTGGTGGTGTTTGTTGTTGTTGTTGTTGTTGTTGTTGTTGTTGTGGTTTTTGTTGTTCTTGTTATTGTTCTTGTTCTTGTCAACAAGCGTTCGACATAGTTCTCAAGTGGATGTGGTCAAAACATGAAGAGGCTGTTGCTCGCAACCAGTGACTTGCTTGGATGATTTCTGTCTAGCTTTACACAGTTTATGTTGGTCATGAATGTAAGTAAGTACTACAGAAACCCATAATTATCAAGAATTATCAAGCAAGGCCATTGGTTTGCAGAAACAAGACATTGAAACCCTTGCTTGTTGTCTTTGTTGAGAGACCAAACTTGTGGTTGCTAAGATGGTTCGAAACAGTGACTAAGACCTTGACAGGTGCTTATGAAGTGGTTCTTGCCCCTGAATATATCTTCTCTGAGTTGCCATTGACGGCGTCTTGAGCCGAGGCTGGATTTTCCTGACGACCTCAAGTTGGATGACTTGTCAGCCGAAGTTCCAAACGCACTGGAAATGGCAGAAGGTGATGAGTCAGACAAGGACAAGAAAAAAAAGGACAAAAAAGTAAAGAAAGAAACGCAACACAAAAAAGAAAAATAACAGATCAAAGACGGCAAAGGAAAAAGAGAAAAAGAAAAGATGATGAAGATGAAGATCAAGAGCCGTCAGATACTCCAGGGGGCAGGAAACTGAAAAAACAGCCGCCCAATCAAGCAGCCTGACACGTGGCAGGGGGCGTGGAATGGGAAGAGGAAAAGGAGGAGGGGGAAGGTTCACTTCGGCCGGCAAAGCAGCAGAGGAGGAGAAGAAGAAAGCAGCCGCTGTGGACAGGGTGCAAAAAGAGTTGGCTGACCTGAGAAGTTTGGGGAGGCAGGATAACAACCAGCGTGAGGAAGCGCGGCAAAGAAGCATCACTGCAAAAAAGGACACGTGGTCACAGATTGAACTTGTCATTGTTTGTTTGGTGGCGCTGGTCAATGACCGGATCTATATATTTGCTGTCATGTTGGCGAGTCGTCAACGTTGACGGTTCGGATTTGCAGCGTCGCTTCCTTACCCCTAACGAAACCACGGCTTGACACCCAGAGGTTGCTTCTTGTAGCGACTTGTTCAACAACTAAGGACTTCCTGGAGAAACTGTTGCAAGGAGCGAAGAAAAATGATCAGGTTGACTTACTGATCCAGTACCATACCCAACAGACTTACATATCTTACATACCATACCTGCCATCCACACAATACCAACCATTCATGCATACATTTCATACCTACCATACATACCAAACATACCATACATTCCAAACATGCCATACCAGACCGGCCGTACACACCATACATACCCAACAACATACCATACCACACCCCCACCACACCACAGCGGGGGAGGGACATTACTATGGCCGGCCCATGACCATGGCCGAGGGGGGGGTTGGAACGCTGGACTATATTACTATTATATATATATATAGAGTATATATTAGCATGTCTCTCTACCATGTTTTGGGCCATCTCTTTAGGCACTGTTTTGCAATTTTTGTCCCTCTCTTTTGGGAATTTTTGTCCCTAACTGACAAAAAATCCCAAAAAATAGGGACAAGATTCCCAAAAGTTAGGATCAAAAATCACCCAAAAATTAGGGACACAATTTCCCCCCCAAGCTAGGGAATTTTTGTCCCTAACTTTGTTTTTTTTTTGTCCCTAACTTTTGGGAATTGTTGTCCCTAACTTTTGGGAATTTTTGTCCCTAACTTTTGGGATTTTTTGTCCCTCTTTGGGGAATTTTTGTCCCTAACTTTTGGGATTTTTGTCCCTCTTTGTCGGGAATTATGAAAAATTATCCCGTATGGAACTCAACCACGTTTTCTTGACCTCTTATATTGCGAATATTTGACCCCAAATTTGGGAAATTTAAAGGGACAATAATTACCCAAACTTAGGGACAATAACTACCCAAACTTAGGGACAATCATTACCAAATTTAGGGTCAATAATTACCCAAACTTGGAGAAAATACCTCTAAAGAAAACGTGGTAGAATGCCATGCTAAAGCAAATTAGATATAGAATATGTATGTAAATATTGATATTATCCATTCATATTTAATTACTTCACACAGAGATCTAGTCGCTGAGAGGCGATCCCACCCAGAGCTGGACATCGAACTGTGGGAAAGGGCGACCTATCCTTCCGGTGTGGCCCTTAGATCGCCGTGGGACTACTGGGTCCATGGGATCCCGGAGAAGTGGGCGAACATTTTCAGCAGAAATTGGGTGATTGTGGTGAACTCATTGAAAACATGGCTGCATGAACTTCAAGATCTTAGAGTATCTTAAAGTCTCCACATCAGCTGTTTGAAGTCTCAAGCACGTGCTGCTGTTCATCCCTGCTGTGACACCATGAGCCTTTTGGATACCTTGCAAAAGGCAAAAGTGGAGGACATTTTCAAAGGCTTGCAGGACATGGCCCCAGAAGATCGCAAGAAGGTCCAGGAGGCTTTGAAGATCATTGAGACCGAGTCCTTCAAAAAAGTTGCTCGCAGCTATGGATGCTCTGGTGGAGATGGAGACTGGGGTGAGTTTAGCATGCGGGTGACTTTGGGTGCGGATGGTACTGGAACTGTGAAAGAGACAAGTGTCATGTTCCGAGACAGCCCAGAGGAGACTGAGACTTGGTATGGCAGCTACACGGTGAAGGGTGACTTCATCAGTTTCAGTGCCACCGAGCTGGAAAAAACGTCCAGCGGAGCCGGGGGAGTGCACACAGCACCCAAAAAACCAGAAAAGAAGGAGTTTTTCTTCCGCACCACAGAAGATCAGAACCTTCTCCAAGTGTCTCCCAAGGGCGAGGAGTTCGAGATGCCTTACGCTGATGGTAAGAAGAAAATCTTGACATGAAGATTGAAGGCTGATTTCATTAAGCCAGATCTACCTTAGGGAATCCCCCAAAGTTGCAGACCAGTGATGCTGCCAGTCGTTGCAAATGCAATGGCCGAATTCAACTTGCTCCAACAGCTGCGACTATGAGAGCTAAAAAGTGCTGACATGTGGACACTGCAGATGCAATAACAGGGCAACCATTTTTGGAATGATTTCATTTGGATTCCAGATTACAGTGCCAGTTCTTGTTGCGACCCCGAAAAGATAGAGTAACTCAGACAAGCACAATCCAAAAATGCCAAGAGGTGTCTCTTACAGGTTGGGATTAAACCACTTAAAACTATCGACCTTAGGGGGTTACCAGCGGTTCCCAATGGTCGTTCGTTACCAGCGTTACCACCTGAGGTCGTTTCGGAGCTGGTCAACATGGTGCTGATTTGGGCGCTCAAGTTCTCTCGGTGATCGAGGTGGACTCAGGTCATCCTAATGCAGGAGCAGATGGACACAACTTAAAGGGCAACGTGTTGGTGGATAGTTGGTGGATTTTAGATCGTTTTTTTTAAAGATGTTTTAAATATGTTTTCATTATTGTATATGTGTGATATGTGTGATATGTTGATATCTTGTTCTCATTTACTGTCATTTTGACATTTCAGCCTTGTTGAATCATATTTTGGTCATTTTTTTGGGGGGGGGATGGTCTCCATTGTTTCCAACTCATTGGTGGCTTGCCAGGCACCGATCTCTGCGCAGCCTGGGAGGACGTGCAACTCATGGTGTCGCAGGGTTGGCTGCGCAGAGCACCTGAGGAACAGCTGGCAGACACGGAGGAAGCTCGGTCGAGTTTGAAACACGGTAAGCATATCTTTGCATACTTTGCTGGAGGACAGTTTACTGTTTACCCAGTGTTTATGTGTTTTTTCTTTTTTTAATGCTGTAATGTTTTTTTGATGTTTATTTTCTGATGGGAATGTTGCGTAATTGAAACTTTTTGGTGATATGAACTTTATGCATGGAGACGAGAGCATGCTGCTGTTGCATCTCAGTCCAGCGTTTGGCAGTCTAGCTCTTCAGTTTTCGTATGTAACCTCTTCAACATTTCGGAAGATTATTATGTCACATCTCCAGAAAAAAACACCATATCCAATGCCAAATGTTCACGTATTTTCCCCCAAAACATCCCCCAAAAATCAGGCCTCAAGGTTTCCCCCCCAAAAAAACCAGGCCTCAAGTTGCAGGAAAGGATGAAATATCAGGGCCTCTGGGCCCACTTTTGGTGCCTCCATGGCTTCTCCTGGCTGCTTCAGCAGTTGGCCGCCTCTGCAGAGCTGCGCCTGAGACGCGTTGAGCGCGTGAAGACCACGGATTTGACGGTGCAGCTGTGGGCCACGGAGAGACGAAGCGGGCAGCTGCGAGATGAGGTGACTTATAGTGGATTTCATTTTTTTTTTTGAGAACCATGAAGTGTTTACAGTTGATTTATGTCGCTTTATGTTGATTTATGTTTATCTTGATTTTCCATTTCATCCACTTTGATGCAGGTTGCTTGATGTGATTTCGTTTTTGTCAATGTTCTGTAGTGTCCATGTACGATTCGGATTGCGGAAACAAGAAGTTCAGCTTCACATAGGGGCAATTTAAGGTGATATTTACAGGAACCCCCACAATTGACAGTAAGAAAAACAATGGTTTCTGGTGAATTTTCTCTTAAACTAACTCAGTGAATATCATATTTGGTGCTAAAATCCCCAACTTTCTTGGTTAAACATTCCACGTTTCAATCTGAAAATCCCACCTGTTTCTCAATCTTTCCAGGTGAAACCTCCATATTTTTGGGTGTCTATAAATCCCAAGGTCCACAGCAAGGCCGACCTGGTGATTCTGGCGGTGCCAGCGCCGGAGGTGCTGCGTCTGGCCCCGGAGCTTCCGGCCGCGCTGCGCGCGGCGCTGCGGCAGATCCGCTACGACGGCCGCGTGGCGGTGGCGCTCACCTTGGAGCACGCCACGTATCCGGCGGTGCATCGTAGAACAAATGGGAAGATTTAGATGGAGGTTTCCTAAGTCATGGGAGTACCCCCAAATCATCCAAAATTGGAATGAAAACCCTCATGTTAAGAAACCCCCATGGGTCAAAACCCAGGGATTTTTCTGGTGAACACAAAGTTGTAGCTGAAAAATAGGGTTTCCAATCACCTGGTATAATGGGTTTGGATGCATCCCCAAATGCATCCATTGTGGTCCATTTATGATGACTTTTTAAACAACATGGGATAAATCATTCAAAAAGATAATTAATAATCTAAATCCAGTGGTTTATGATAAGTTCTATCTCCATCAAAACGGCAATATCAGCTTTTCTGAAGAAGCCACTCTAGGTGGAAGGTTGGTTTGTCGTTCTTCGATTCTTGGCCGAGGTTCGTGCTGCCTTCGCAGGTGCTGCAGAAGTGAGCCTGGATCTTGGAGACACACCACATGAAGATGTTCATTTGGTCGCCTGGCAAAACATCAAGCGTGGCCCAGTGGCCCATGGGGATCCCATGCAATTAGTGGTCCACTCCACCTGTGGAGCTGAGTGGCAAGGGCCTACAGAGGCTCTGAAGGCCGTCAGTGGATTCTGTGGTTTACCCCTGGCGCAGTTGGAGGGCCTCGTGATGAGCTCCAAAGTCATTGATTGGAAGATCTGTCAGATGGCACAGCCCCTGGAAAGTATCCCTACCAATTTGCGGCTGCCGGAGCCATGTTTCCAGCACGGTCGCATTTTGGTAGCGGGGGATTTCTGGTGTCAAAGCAGCTTCTTGGGCTGTTATTGCTCTGCCAAAGCTGCAGTGCGGCAAGCAGTTGCAATGCTGAAGGAAGGTGAAACTTTGAGTTCCGAGCCAAAAAAATAATTTTTATGTTCCTTTGCTGTTGATGCAAGAAGTTGCAGAATTGGTAAATTAAAGTCAGTTATTGGTACTTGTACAATGTTGGCAAAGCAATCATACACCATCACCAACTTTACCCTTTTTTAATGGGTGATGAATATAAACCATCAATCCATTGATGTATGGCATTGCTTTACCAACATTCACATGACGTTCGCGTGCTTCGCCTCAGCTGCATTTTTTTTTGAGATATGTCCTTGGGCTCCAAGCGCACCAGCGCGGGTACCCCCAAATCATCCAAGTCAGTGGATATCATTACGTATATAGATGGTGACTTGGGGATCCCCCCATTTTAAGAAACCCTCAGTTTAAGATCCACACACGGCACATACAACCGGAGTCTTGAAATACTTTTAGATGCCAATTTGAGATTCGCATGAGACATGTCGGTCTATCTCCGACATAGCCTTTTCTGAGATGTCTGAGACTGCTATGGAAAACTCATGTCGGAACCTCAAAAGAGCAGCATGGATTGATGTTCATATATATATATATATTCAATATTTCACCATGTTTCACCATGTTTTTTTCCATGGAAGAGCATCTGAGTGACATGTCTGCAGTTGCTTCAACTGCTTTCTGCAGTTGCCAGAGGTTGAACCCGCTTTGGTGATGTCGAGCTCCCAAGTTGCTTGGAAGCGGAACACACATTGGCGATCTGATGGGAAGATCTGGAGAATGACTAGACTGAGCAAGAAAATGGGATGAATGACGGATGATGGATGATGACGGATGAATGATGGATGATGATGGATGATGATGGATGATGGATGATGATGGATGTATCCCTCAATGATGGTTTTTGTGTGTTTGCATTTTCGACAATCCTCCCTTCACAAAGTCCCCCTTTTGGGGCCCGAAGCCCAGGTGCTGCGCTGGAATTTGGCGATTGCCACTGCTGCAAAGGCAGCCAAATGGAAGAGAGCGATGTCCTTAATGCTTGGCCTCAATGCGCAGGCCTTGCAACCGGACACTTGGATCACCTGGTGTTGGGAATTTACCAGTGGTAAACCACCCAAACTTAGGGAATATAGCAGAAAGGTATCATTATTACTATTTTCCGCTGCAATGTACCACCATCTGGATATTTAAGATAGCCATGGAAAATTCCCATTGGTAATCAGCAAATCCTCGAACTAAATGGTTCAGTTTCCATCAGCAAACTCTTCAATTTACCAGAGGGTATATCCCCGATTTAAGTCACCATAAGTCACCATAAGTCACCATAAGTCACCACAATCATCACTGAAGATGCAGTCTCCAAGGACATCATCACCTTCAACACCACCCTGCGGGCATGCACCCGTGCCAGTCGCTGGAGATTGGCTGTGCAGATGCTGAACTCGGTGAATCAGCACGGACTTCGAGCGGATGTGGTGAGCTACACGTCTCTGCTGGGGTTTCAGAAAGACTCAGGTGGGATTTTGACCAAAAAAATCGAAAAATTGCCAAACAATTACTGTATATTACTGTACAAACATGTACAAACTGTCTTCTGTTTTCATTTCTTTTCCACATTTTGATGGGCAAAACATCAAAACATGCCTGTGTCACATGCTTGCACCAAATGAATGGCTGTTTCATCAGCACATCGAGGTGCATGGCTGCGAGCTTTGAGGGTTTTGCATGAGATGCACATGGCAACGCTCCAAGCTGATGCCACAGCGTTGAACGCAGTGCTTGCTGATTGTGCCACTGGTCCCTGGCCCTGGGGCTTGATCCTGTTGCAGAGGCTACAGCAGTTTGGTCCGAAAGCCTTTGCGGTGGCGTTGAGTACTGCAATGGCTGGAGCTGTAAAAAATGGACGTTGGGATGTCGCCTTATCTCTGTTGCAATCGTTGCAATCCTACGAAGCAATTGATGGTGTGCTGCTGGCCACCTGCATGCGTGTTTGTCGTGCTGGACATCTATGGCAATTGGGCTTGTCGTTACTTCCCCGGGCGCGTGCGGCGCGTGCGGATGTTGCAGTGTACAATGCTGCCATCAGTATGTGCGCAGATGCTGGTCAATGGCAACTTGCATTGAAACTCTTGGGACGGGCCCATGATGAAACCCGGGTGGATACAACCAGTTGCAATGCGGCGATTACTGCCTGTGATCGGGGTCAGGCTTGGCAACAAGCCCTGCACATTTTTCACTTGTCCGCTGGCTTGAGGGATGTTATAAGTTTCTCGGCATCATTGGCATCGTATTTTTTGGGTAACTTGGGGTGTCACACCTGCAAACTTTCATAATTGAACCGTTAGGATTAAACAAAATCATCGTGGAAAAATCAGAACCCATTAGGATTAACTCTTTTTTTCAAAAATAATGGTGGAGAAAAGTCGAAATTCCTTACAGTAAATTCAAGGCCGCCAGCCCTTGAATTTAAGGAATTTCCGCGGAAATAAGGAAAAATAAAAGACAAAAAACAAGAAATAAACAACATTAAACAACTAAAATAGAAAACAAAATCAAAGATAAGGCAAAAAAAAATATACATATATAATATATAAATAACAATCAAAGACAACTAGTAAAAAAAACGTATAAACAAATAAAACAAAATCAATCAAACAAAAAAAAATAAAAACACAAAATATTAAAACAAAACAATAAACATGTCACAAATAAAACAGTAAACACATGTAAAAAAACATAAATCTGTGTCTATTCTTAAATGGCTTTCAGATTGATGGAATCAATACTTTTTTGGTATTCATAGATTTTTTTTTTGAGCAGCTGGCAGCATTTCTGTCTGCAAAAAATATAAAGTAACAATTACATTGAAAAGATCAGTGTAAAGAAATGAAAAGAATAAGACGAAATCGGGGCTGTGTCTCGAAATTAGTTGCGCAAGCAGTTTTTCAGCCAAGGATCCCTGCACATTTGATTTGATGCATTTTGCATACTGCATGCACCTTATCTCCGGGGATAGACCTTAAACACAACCCGGCCACCTTATTTACGAAAGTTCACAGTCACACCGGACTTTTGACGATGGCTTTTGGATCACTTGACACTTGACCGGCGCACGCGTCCTCCAGCCGAGACAGCTCAGTTCTCAGGTTATGGTGCGATCATCAGTGCGTGCCGGGCGCAGTGGCCTTTAACACTCTCCTTGCTGCGACTGGCAGCCAGCGAAGACGTTCGGCCAGGCGTATGGAAGTTCTTGATGTGTAGAGCAACGTTTTTGCAGATGCAATGTCTAGAAGGTCGGAAGGGAGGCCAAATGCCAAGGTGACAGAAGAAAACCGAGAAGAAGGACCTATAAGTTGACTTTCTCACTTCTCGAGTTTTTCAATTTTCTTTATACTCTAGGCTATATAAATTTATCTGTTGTGCCGGATTGAATGCTTGCAAGTGGCATTCTTTGTCAACTGTGGTTCAAAAGGCGAGAGAGCGTGGAGTGCATTGTTCACCTCGTGCAAAGCACAGTGGGAATTGGGACTGGCTTTGGCAGAAGAAGGAGCGCGGCCGTGATCGAAACTTGAACAGGATGACAGTGGAGTAGTGGAGAAGCCCAAAGCTGAGGAGATCATCTCATATGTTGACAGACATTTTAACATATTTTAACATCATCCGGTGTTGCAAACATTTCTTGCAGGACGTGACTCAGATTGGGATCTGACATGTCACAACTCCGTGCTGCATATCCTCGCGACGACTGGGAAGTGGACGCAGGTGATTCACTTGCTGCGGACTTTGCGAAACTTGGTTGAGACATGTTGAGAGTGCCCAGTGACCCAGTGCCATCATGAAGGTAGTGGCTTGCCATGGCTTGCCATGGCTTGCCATATTCGACCCAAATGGCCAAGGCGAATCCGGACCACAGCCAGATGCTGTCACTTGGGATGCTGCTTGCTCTGCCTTTGAGGTGCGGGAGTTACTTTGAGAGTTGGAAAATTCAGCAGTCTCTAACAACTATCAGTAACAACAGCTATCAGTAAATATCCAGAACCATACAATCTGTATCCACAGGAATCCAGAAGTAATCAAGAAGTCAAAAAGTTGGGACTTGGCTGAAGTCCCTCTTTATAGCAAGGTATTGGCAAATATTGGCAGGGGATGGAATCGCCAATCGATTAATTAAACTTCACAGTTGACTACCCCCCCCTTGCTCCCCCGCTTCGCCCCCCCCCCGTTTTTCATTGGCCGCATTTTTGCCGTGGCTCAATCCCCCAGCTCTTTCACCACACCTACCTCCTCCCTAAAAACCTTCCCAGCTAGCTTTCGTCCCTTACCCCCTGGCCTTCAAGTTATATATATATCTATCAACATCCAATGTACTGGGTGCTTGTGTGAAGTCGCGCGGAAATTGTGTACCCCACTCTTCAGAGGTATAAAAAATCTTATGTTGTTATAGGTGAAGGAAGTTTAGAAGTCTTACGGATATTTAAAGCATTTTGAAGCAGCAAATATCCCAACATATAGAAAGATTACGAGTAATACTGTATGCCTCCTCACGTAGTGCAGTGTAGTGCAATGTAGTATCACCAACAAGTGCTTCCATAGCAATCAATGTAGACTGGAATTCATAACCATTGCATGAGGTCATGTTAAAGTACATTGACCATGGAATCCAGTTTGCCCGTACTGACATTAATACATGTCCACTTGTTTTAACTAATTCAATCATATGCCAACTATTTTGCTCAAGATCGCATTTGCCCAGGGAAAAGGCTGCTGACCGCAGCCGGGGTGCGTGGTGGGGCCACTAGATTCTCCGGAATCTTTTCATATCTAAACTATCCACAATTCAGCACCCCAACTGAGCATCTCCACCAGACCTCTGGTGCCTTTCAGCAGCTGCCTTTCGCGCAAGCAGCTTTGCGCAGCACAGCAGCCTGGGAGCTCGGTGAATCCATGGCTTGACAAAGAATTCACGAATCGGGCAAAAAAGGTCAAATAATGTCATTATTCACACATCTTGGATCAGCAATGATCGGTATATAAACAATTATAAACATGGATTCCCTCTTCGAAAAGCAGCCTGCGTCTGGCCATGAGGCCACACTCTGTGCATCTCGTGAGTCGGAAGGCCGATCAGCTGCTTGGAATGGTGATATGAGTGATCCAATGATGGACATAGAATGGGATCTTGTGGGATATCTATATCTATCTCTAGAAAAGCTAAGATGTAACACTTAGCTCCTTACACCTAAGGTGCTACTCAACAATTTTGTTTTAATTTGTTTAAGGTTGCGGCTCAGTTTGCGGTTTCAATTTTCCCTTCAACCAATCCATCCGAATGTTATATTTGGTGATGGCATCCAAGATTTTCTTGGAATTTTTGATTTCATACAATTTTTGTGGGTAAAACCATGTACAACCTGCGAAATTCTCTGAATCTTGCGGAAGGACCATCAGATCTCTGGCCGTTGAGAGCTGGCTTGGGCTTAGCAGCTGGTTGGGCCTCTGGGCGCTTGGAGAGGTGCGGATGGTGGGTCTGCCAGTGGGGTTTCAATACAGGCTTCTGGGGTTAAGATTAACCAGTATTCATACGTTGGTTTAACACATAATATAACATAATTTAATATAATTTCATATAATTAAATATAATATACTATATAATTATAGTAAAAAATAATATAGTTTTAATTAAAATATAATCTGCTCTAATCTAATCTAATATAATAACATATAATATAATATAAATAATGTAATATAATATAACATAATCTAATATAATATACTAAAATAAAAAAGTATATTATAATATAATATAATATAACCAAAGGAAGTTTAGAAGTCAAACTTCCGACAATATGGACGGATGAAAAGCAGAGATGGGAAGAGTCAGAGAGAAGAGAAGAGTAGAAGAGAGAGATCAGAGAAGAGAGAAGATCAGAGAAGAGAAAGAGTCAGAAGAAAGAAGGGACAGATGCGCGAAAGGTAGGAAAGTCGCGAAACACTGTGTTTTTCCAATGATTTGGGGCTCCGGAGGGTCGAAAAGTAGGCTCACTAAAGCGGCGGGTGCGGAGCCAGCTGGCCAGATGAGAGATGAAAAGTTGCACGCCGTTGTGGCGCGAAGCAGATTTCGAAGTCAAAATGTACAAAACACACCAGGGTCGGACCACTTTTGGAAGTTGAGATGTCGAAAAAGTGCACGCCATTGTGGTGCGAAGCACATTTGCAAGTGAAAAAGCACAAAGCACACCAGGTTCGGACCACTTTTGGAAGTTGCGATGTCGAAAAAGTGCACGACGTTGTGGCGCGAAGCGCATTTCCAAGTCAAAAGTGCAAAAAACTGACGGGTACGGAGCACTTTTGGACGTTCAGATGTGCTTTCGCGTGGCAGGCGCAAGGGATTGTGCACCTTGTCAAAAGTGAGCAAAACGTGAGGGTTTTGTGGCATTTCCAAAAACGATGGCAGGCTTGGGGCGGCACTTGAAGAGGATCTGCAAAGACGCATTTTCCGTGGCAGGCACAGTACAAGAGACATCTTCTTCGGATCTGTTAGGAGGTGAGGGCGTTGATTTCCTGAGAAGGGTTGCATTTTGGAGCATCAGATCTTCAGGTTTGCTGAGATGATTTTGCGTGACAGGTGCAGCGCTTCGTATGACCTGGCATCACTTTTTCGTGGCGGGCGCAATACTTGCGACAGGTGGACTGGA